TTCATTTTAGCCGAAAACCTACAGTTTGTAAAAAACTTGATAAAAGATTAGTTACCGTTTTTGCAGGCTTTGTTCAACCCATAGAAATCTACAGGGTGGTCGAGTGTACCAATTTAATCGAAATTAAACGACCTCATGCATTTATTTTTATGATATTTAGTATGTTATAAAAATATCCCTAGACTTTTCTGATGTGTGTATTTGAGATGTGTGTATTTGAGATGGGTGTATAAAAACCATAGTTGGTTGAATGACGCGCTACAACGAATAAGTGTATTTGTCTGGTTTGTCTCTTTGGAACATTGAATTGTATAATAGAGAGAACTTCCAGAGAGTCAATTATGCCAAAGATTATTTTGAAGAGATAAACCAACGATATCATAATCCTGTGATCACTTAGACTAGTTCCATCCAGTTCATTATTTCATTGTAGTTATATTTACTAACAACTAGACCTAATCTGAATGCTATGAATTTCAGACATTTTCTTTGCACATTTTTTATCTGATGAATATACTTGACATAGTATGAGTTTTAATTCCGTAACAAATGTTTGAAGTACAAATTGAGTACAAAAAAGTGATTTTCGTTTAATTCAATGTTCATATGATCGAAAGTAGTTGTGTCTGATGGACTTTTTCTTCCAGTTTGTGCATGACCTACATTTGCATGGGAAGAGTTTATTCTGTATTCGAATTCGAATACAGATAAGGAAATAGAAAGACAAAAAACTCCTTCACCCCAAAATGGGAATGGAATTTAAAATAATATAAGAAAGTTAATTTGTGAAGAAAAATTATTGTAATCTGAAATGAAAATGTTACCAGGGATGCTTTTTCCTGCTTAGGGCTTTGTTCACGAGATGAAACTGTTACTACTTGATTGTAGTTGAAAAACTTTCTATCTCAGATAAAGGTATATGCATTGGAGCTTCGATGGAATCAGTCGAGTCTTAGATGTACTTCTGATTTATGGGATCCATCTGGCATTGACGAGAAGTAACGAAACTGGTCTGTAGGTGATCACTTATCTGATTTCAACTAGGTCCTGCTGTCATAAATGTCTATCCGATATGGTATCAGCTAGGATAGTAGTTATTTTCTGGTGGTTATTTGCTAAATTCTCCAGTCTAGAGATGTTGAGAAAGATGAATGTTTTGAATTTGATTTGATTTACTAATCACACAGTCATCTGACTCGTTTGGATTTCTTTAATTATCTCATTTATGCCTGTGTCATAAGCCATTCACAAGATACAAATAATATGTCATCATATTGATATGATTTAAATATCAGTTTTGATTCATGTTTTTGATAACTTTTCAATGAGTTACAGTTTGAAATTTTTTTGATTGTTTCATATGCATTAGGTTGTTTCAAAAGTTTCTTAAAACGGTTTTATTCAGTATTTCATCAGTTCGGACTTCCATTGTCTAATATAAAATAAATTGATTTGAAAACCCTGAAAAAAAAATTAAAAAATTAACAAGATCGACCGAAAATAGCAATTTTATTAAACAAAAAACT